ACGTTTTGAGATATTTTTTGGAAAATTCTAACGGCTAGAAAAAAAGATATGGAATTTTTTGTATTTTTCTAATTAAAAATCCTAAAAATCATGAGTTAAAATTTCTAATTTGTTTTTCCTCGATATCTCCTGATCTGCGCGCTTTCGTGCGAGGCGCACAGGGAGCAAAGTTCGTCCCCTCGTTGAGGCGAACGTTTTGAGATATTCTTTGAGAAATTCGAACGGCTAAAAAGTGAGATATGGAATTTTTTGTATTTTTTGATTAAAAATTCTAAAAATTTTGATTTTCGTTTTATTGAAATGGTCGGGAAAATAAGCGAAATTAGGGGAACCAGCTGGGACCAAAGTTGGTCCCTGTATTTTTCCCGACATTTTGAGACCCTAGTCGGGGAAAACGGACTTCGTTTGGACAAACGGCGAGCTCCAACAGATAGAAAAGGTAAAAGAAAATCAACGGGAAATTGAATTTCTTTGTATTTTTTTTTAAATTAAAAGAAAAAGAAATTTAAAAATGTAATCTTATAAGTTTTTCTTCAAAACTAGTGAAAGCTAACAAAAATTTTCTCGTGTTGAGCAGGGCTTTACGGTGTTCGTGCGGTTGCGCGCAAAACCCAAAACCCTAATTAGGGGAAACCCTAATTAGGGTGAAGTCCTAGCCCCAATTTTGAGAGAAATGGGTAGATAGAGGGAAGCCATAGCTTCTAGCTTCCGCATTTGTTACGGATTATTTTTTGTCAAATATATCCCGTAAGATTGTGGAAATTAGTTCGGGAAGTTTTGCCCCATTAAATAATTAAGAATTATTTTACTTTTGATTTTATTTAAAATCAATAAAAAAATTGAAATAAATATTAAAAATTGCGTAGGGGCATTTGTTTGACTTCAATGCTCTTCGTATCTACTTTACCTATTTGAGGGACTTTTTTTCGAACCCCATCTCACCAGGGGGGAAGGAAAACTGATGTCGAAATTTCTCGAAATTTCCCTTTTAATTTATTTTTTTGCTAATTAATTAACAAAAATTTTTAAAAATCGAGTTAAATCAATTTTCCTTCTTTTCCATTATTCCTTTTGATATTCCCTCCTCGGCAGCGCTGTTTGAGGGCTCCGCCCGAACCCCATCCCAACAGGGGGAGGCGAAACGCTGCCGAAATTTTAGTAAATTCCCCAAATCTTATTTCTACCCCTTAAGATCATCAAACTCGGCGGGCTTATATATGTATTGATCCTTAATATATATAAACTAAGAAAAAAATTTTATCTTAATTAAATACATTTTCTTTAATTTATAATTGAAAGATACGAAAGAATTCCCTAGAAGAAGAAGGGAAAGGGACGCTGCGGTAACCTGGTTTCGGGTGAACCTACTAGCTTGTTTCCGAAGGCGTGAGGCAAGCGACGRGAATTTTCAGTTATTAATCTACACCTCCCTCTTACTGCGTTCTTTCTAACCGCCAATTGAATGTGGCCGCGGGTGCAAGTAGAGGTCTATGGGGCTACCATTGACTGGGACTTGGAGCCCCCTGAACTCATAGAGGGGGATCTGGTCGAGCTCACGATCCCCGGGCKCAACATTCGACACGTTGACGGYCAGTTTGCGTGGAGGTCCATAATCTTGTCCGAGGACGTGTGGCTTTGGACGTACAGAGAGCATCGGCCGGGGCAAGGAGTGGGCGTAGTGAGAGCCTACTTGTTTTTCGGACCGGGTGCGGTCAGGGAGGCCGTGGTGGGCCTCGCGATGACAGGGACTAGTGACACAGTTAGCAGGGCGTTACGCTACCTAGGGGAAGAGGTAGTTGCCTTCCGAGCGGAGAACTCGAGCGACCCGTTGACCCTATTTCATGGACGCCCTCCTCTTGATATCACGGGCGAGCTGGTGGTAGCACGGGACGGGTTTTTCCCGTACAGCGTTAGGAGCCTACAGGCGATAGTTCCGACGTTCGTAGCAGAGAGCGTCTTTGGAGGTATTGGTGGAGTGGTCGAGACATACCTGGCCTATCAGGATCTCAAGATCCTGGCAAGAAGGCCTGCCGACCTAGACTACATCTATTATTCGCTCGCAACCGGTGGGCCTCGTTGGGGAGATGAGAGGGTTCAGCTTATAGAGCTGATCCGCTCGATAGACGACGAGTGACCCCAGTTTCCGTGCGTTTGGGATTGGCTAGACCGCGAGCTCCGAGCAGGCCCTGAGTACGTGACCTGCATCGGGCGGCTCTTCTCAGACGACTGGGAGAGCTGGTGGAGTCAGGACGCTGGGCGACCTCTGATATACGGCCATCAGTTGGCGCAATACTACCAGGGAATAGGACAGGCGCCATACCACGTCGAGGACGAGTTTGACGACGAGGGTTGGGAGCAAGAGAACGACGAGGACGCCTGGGAGCCAGACTGGGTCGACCCAGAGAGTGAGGTTGACGAGGAGGGGATCGACGTTACAGACGTCCATTTTCCCAGGATAGGAGTAGCAGTCCAGACGTAGGAGGTAGAGGAGCACATTAGGGCGACGGTTGAGTGAGCTTAGCTACTGATCCTACTCGACCATACTGGACCTGAGTGCGAGAGTTGTCTGGAGGGTTAGCAACGTCGAGAGATGGGGTGCATCGGAGGGAGTAGAGTGATGATGACCGAGAGTAAGAGAAGAGATGAGGAGTGGTTCAGTGGCCTAGTTAGCTTATGTTCTCTCACGAGAGTCCGAATCGTATAGTGGGAGGAAGCTTGTGGGACCCAGAGAGACGGCGGTTGGATACGACATACCACTTCCTGTGGCGTTAGAAGAGGCAGGGCGTGTACCGATACGATACTTGGGAACGTGGCTCGCAGAGGGGCTCTTCCTTTGGACAGTGATACTACGAGACGAACGACCCGAGAGGACTCATGATCTAGAAGGGGTCGGACATCTGATAGCGGATASAGYACACGATTTMGAGATAGGACTAACGCTCGCAGGGGCGAGCAGGAGTTGGTGGAGAAGTGAGTTGTTGGCCAGAGTGATCGTTAATCAGCAATTGGCGAGACTCTCTGGAGGGAGGACGAGTAGGAGCTGCTTGGTATACGGTCCACCACATCYGACCYTCTACCCGAGAAAGGATTGGCGATTCGGAGTTCCTACCTTCGTGATAGGGCAGACCTATGGGAGCGTGGATCGTTTGAGAAGAGCAGTGGACCACACACTTTACGCGCTCTGGGAGGGCTTAGAGCCCCACTTCAAGGAAGTATACTATGCCATTTGTGTGAGGTGGGGGCCGCCCAGTAGAGAGACGCTTGACGACATCAAAGACGTTACTAATTGGTGAGGTCAATCGATCTGATCAGGTACTGCAGTAGACGGGCAGAGATCGATTATGCAGGGCTAGAGGATGTGAGATTTCTCTTTGAGGCCGCAGCCTAGGGAATGCCGGGAAGGATGGCCACGGTGATGCGTGTAGAAGAGCAACTGGTAAGCACAGGATACACTGTGACAGTACTTCTCCGAGCGTACGTAGACGAGGACTTGACAGCGAGAGAGTGCAGGCAACGAGCTAGGGATTTGATCCACGAGCGTAGAGCTGATGTACTGGCGCGAGTGACCTTCCAGACCTCGATTTCCTATGATGTGATGATATAGTCTCATGGTTATATGCGCGCGGAGCACTACCACGATGAGACGGTAACGAAGGCTAGAGCGAGGGTGAGAGGGTGAGCTGGAGAAAGATGTGGACTGAGTATGAAAGAGGAGAGTGAGGCAGGCGGAAGAGTGAGAAAACGCGTTAAAGAACCACTCTTGAACCAGGTAAAGAAGTTGGGGGATAAGTTAAGGGAGATCTGGTCGTGTCAGGACGAGGGCAAGTTGCGTAGGGCTGAACTCGTGACGAGAGAGTTAGAAAGTCTGTTTAGGGAGGAAAGAGAGATTATCCAGGCGTGGAGATCAGACTTTCAGGAAAGGGTAAAGACTAAAAGCGTATCACGCGAAGGAACTAGTGAGCGATCTGCAGAGAGCGAGACAACGCAAGACAAAATAACGCAGGGAAGTAGCGACAGGACATGAGCGGGACTGCACTACACACGACGGATCGGTACTCATTATATGTGGTAGGGAGACTGAACGGACCATTAGTGTTAGTGATCGTAGAACTCCAGCTCCATACCCGATTGTGCATAGTTGAGGAGGCAGAGTGTGTCCGCCACGCTCTGCGTGAGGCTAGGGGAACAGGACTTTGGATTGGAATAGAAGGAGAACGGAGGATAAAATACGTACTCTAAGTGACACCTTTCGAATGACGGTCTCTGATAAGGGCATGGTACGAGACGACCAGAGAGGCTGAGAGGTTGAAGATAAGCGAAGCCAGGAAAGCTGGAGAGTTAGGGAGAGTTGTAATAGATGGTGCAATACTCAGGGTGTTAGCTGCTCACGACCGGTACTGGAAGGAATCGATAAAGACTTTAGAGGCGATAGAGGATGGTGGAGATAAGGAGGACTTTGAGACATTTTATGACATATTGGAGCGCTCGGCGATGAGGTTACAAGTGGTTATAACACTAACTTACCTCAGCTGCTAGACAGAAAACCTTGTAGCCGTCTGGGAGATAAGGGAGTGGAAATAGAAATTGGAAGCTCTTGGAAGGATAGTGGAAGCTAGAAAGGACGATGGGCGACTTTGGATGGCAGTAGGAGGGCCTTTAGCGGGCTAACCGAATCAGGACAGGGCTAGGGGAACTAGCAATGAGGACGGAATAGACGCTCGGAGATTCTTGAGGGGTGTTGATCAGGAGACATTGGCTAGGTTTGGGACTGCGATCTGTCTCAAGGATAGAGGGTCAGTCATGGGTGTACTGCAGATACAGGGATTCTTTGGATAGAGGGAGAGCACGAGATCCGCAACCGATACGGGGTACTGGAAGTGGTAATCAAGGCAGTTGAGAGCCAAGATTGGAGGCGGAAGCGAGCCGTGACAAGGAGACAGGTCCGGGCTGCAACGACTGTCATAGGGTCGAGCTATAACAGTTGGCGAGAATACCTAACTGCGTCTTCTGGCGGTCCAATGGAACCCGACACGATGGGGCCACAACCGACCACGGGCGAAGCGGGAGAGGAGTATAGGACATCGCCCAATCGAGCTCTGAGGGATCTGAAGGAACGAATTAGGCGAGAAGCACCGCTGAGATGGGCTGACCAAACCAATGACGGAGGGCCCGACGTAAGGGGCGAACCAGTTGCGACAGAGCCGCAAGAGGCTCTAAAGACGGGTACCTCGAGCGGACGACGAGAAGCGACGAGGCGACGCTCCCCCGAGTACGAGCGGAGGGACACCATAGCGGACAGGCACAGAGACAACTGGAGAGAGAGTCTGAGGGATTCCTATTGGAGAGACAGAGATAGAGACAAGGCGCTGCCTAGGCGAGTCTTCGACCCCCAGACAGGGGAGTCACATCCGCTCCCTTACGAGAGCAAGAATCGCTATATTATTATGCACAAGGCCTCAGAGCCTCCTACCTTCAGGGGCTATGGTATCACAGAATATCTGGAGAAGTGGGAGCTTCACGCCAGCCGGAGTCRGTGGTCGGAGGAAGAGATTATAGAGAACTTCCTATTTAATGTGGACCCAAGTCTCGGTAGGGAAGTTAAGGAAGCTCGACCGAAGGATGGAAAATTGACTACTTACAAGAAGAACCTCGTTGAGCTTTACAAATTGGAGGATAACAAGTATTCCATCAAGGACCTTGAAACAATGACTCAAGATGAAGATGAGAGCGTACGGGCATTTGAGATGCGTTTCCAGAAGATCTCYGACGTGCTGATGAAGAAGGGGAAGATCTCAGAGGTCGAGCGCTGTACTATCTTCATCGGACACTTGTCCAAAGGTAGGCAAAAAAATATACTTAGAGATCTTCCGCGCGACAGGCTTGATTTCCCAGAAGTCCTAAAGCTCGCGATAAAGGTCGAGGCAGACGATTACAAGGACTTGGTGTGGAGAGGGATGAGGAGACGTGACTTCCCTCTCTACAAGGAGTATGCCACGGATAGATGTCCTGATTTCAAGGACTATCCCTGGTCGGAAAAGAATGAGGCCGTGGCTGAGGAAGTGAAGGAGATACGAGACATGGTGAAGGGATTGACGAGACAGGTTACAGAGATTGTGACCACTACAGGGGCAACGGCCTACCGGGACAAACCTGGAAGGCCCTATTCACTTCGATGGGACCGTAGGAACAACGATTCTTGGAGGAGTGTCGAGGATAGAAATCATCGGACCCTGACTGATTATCGTACGAGGGGAAGAGAGAGAGACGATGAGCCATGGCGACGTAGGGACGATTAGATAGACCGAGACCGCAGAGATCGCGAGCCGTTTGCGCGAGCAAGGAGGCTGGATGATTACCCGCGGAGCCCTCGCTATGAGGCCGATCGAGGTAGAGGCGACTCCCGTGGCCGATGAGAGACAGATCAGGGCCGACGAGATGGATATAGGAACGACAGATACAAGAGATCGGACCGAGACGGATATAGGGACGACAGATACGAGAGGTCGGGTCGAGATGGCTACAGAGGTGGTAGGTATGAAAGAGGAGATTGGGACTGGGAACGACGAGATGGGTCGCGCGGACGGTTTGAGCGAGGGGGAGATGCGAAAGAGCAACGCGACGAGTCGCGGGGTTGGTACAACCGAGGGGACCGACGCGATGAGTCACGTGGGCGATATGACTCGGGGAACCACCGGAATGATTCGCGAGGGCGGTATGAGCAAGGAGGGTCTGGAGGAGACCGCCGCAACGATTCGTGCCATCGGAATGAGAGAGGGGGATATGGCGTCTCATCAGAACCATATCCCAAGTCGCCTGACCCCAAGGCAGCCAGGAGTTCGATCTCTAGAAGCGCAGACAACAGGCCATCTACTCCCAGGGACTCATACGTCTACTGTAGAGGAGAAGATAATATCAAGAGGGATTGCCCGTACCTCAAACAGGCAATAGATGAGGGACTTGTCGTGCTTGACGACCGCAAGTATGTCAAGTGGGCAGATGGTCTGAGAGATGTATCGATGTTCCCTTCGATGAAGGAGAATGTCGAAGCAAGGAGAGTAAAGTTGAGTAAAGAAAAGGAGCCGGTCAGGAGCCAGAGCATCAAGATAACCTTTGAGGGGGATATGGCGACCACACCCATAAGGGTGGTAGCCACCAAGTCGGCGAGAGGGTCTACATCGAAGAAGACTGACACGGATTACGTGATGATGGAGAAGGACGGGCAGCGGGTCGATGGAGAGGAGGTTATCCTTTCACCGCGAAAGAGGGGAGTGAAGAAGTTCTTAATGAAGAGTTCGCTGGACGAGATTGACACGGTCGAGCCACTGAGACGGGCCCTTCGGCAACCCATGCAGTGCTCTNGGTCGAGCCACTGAGACGGGCCCTTCGGCAACCCATGCAGTGCTCTATTCTAGAGTACCTGGCGGCATCGAAGCCGGCTCGTGATGAGTTACAGATGATCACGCGGAAGACTCGCATATCTCTATCGGAGGAGGGTCAAGGGGCCCCTAAGGCGGAAGCTCCTACAGTAGCAGTAACGGGGGTGACAGCCAGAGCAGATCGCATGGCGACAGTCCTTCTCGATGGAATGGAAGGTCTGCCTCCAGACAAGTTTTATATACTTGGTAGTGGGGCCGTGGAGACGACTATAAACGATGGAGCGATACTCGATGCTGTGATCGATAACGACAGTGAGGCTGTCATCATAGACGAGGACCTGGCAGTACAGGTTGGACTGGGCCTCGATAGGTCATACCTATTCGAGATAGAGACGGCTGATGGGAGAAAGCAACAGATCACTTGGGTTTGTCACAAGGTAGCCATAGAGCTCCAAGGGGTACTAGTGACCCTGCATGTCTTTGCAGTCAAGAACTGCAGCTCCGACCTGCTCTTGGGTCGAACGTGGCTGAGCCACGTGCATGCGGTGACGATAGAGCGACCTGATGGGAGYYAAACATTRTYCATTARGAAGYYWGACGGGACGCGGGTAATGATTGAGACAGTGGAGCCTCGGGACCCGAGGAACAGAGCAGCTCTCGCTGTGGGTGCGAGACCCAGTGAACAGATTAAGTCGTTACCTATCTCCGGCCACGCGGTGCGATTTCGCGATAAGAAATATGGACCACTGCTCACAGAGGAAGAAGGTCGGATTGTGGAGGTGAAATATTTAGGGAGTCGAATGATAGTGGACGGCAACTCGTACCCAAAGGAAAAAGATGAGGAATTTGGCAGTGTGGTATCCGTGTCTTTTTTAAGGGCACGGCCCCCTATGGGGGGCTACCCAAGCGACACAAGTGAGTAGCTCAAAAAGTTAAGCCAGCGGTGGTGGGCCACGAGCGATCTGCACTGGAAGGGATATCGGAAGAAGAGATCGCGAAAGAAATCAAAGAAAGAAAGAAAAAGGAGCCACAACGCCTGACGGAAGAGAGGATAGCAGGGATGGACATCGGAGATGGAAATCTGACCCCACAGGAGCGAGAGCATGTGATAGAAATTTTGAAGACATGTGATAAAGCAATAGCTTTCAGCGACGCGGAGCGCGGTAGGATTGACCCTCGATACGCTAAGTCAGCGAGGATTTACACGATTCCACATGTTCCTTGGAATGACGCAGGATGGAAATACGCCCAGAAGGAGAAGGAAGAAATTATCGCTTTCCTGAAAGAAAAGATGGTTTCCCACATTCGGGAGCCGTCTGATAGCGCATATGCTAATCGATGGTTTTCCTACGAAAGCCGAATGACAAGATCCGATGGATCCAGGACCTTCAGAAGGTCAACGCGGTGACGATACGAGACGTGGGCTCCGTGCCGCACGCCAATTTACTGGCAGAAGGCGCCGCGGGTAGGTCGATTTATTCGGTCTGTGATTTGTTCTCAGGTTATGATGAGGTACCGCTTGACCCTAGGGACAGGCATCTCACGGCTATGCATACGCTATTGGGACTAATACAAATGATGGTTGTCCCTATAGGTTGGACTAATGGGGTAGCCGTTTTTCAGAGAGTCATGGTAGCCGTCCTTAAGGACTTCATCCCTGGTAAGGTTGAAGTTTTTCTGGATGACTTTCCTATAAAAGGGCCAGTAGACAAGGATGAGACAGAGGTTGTACTTGGAGTTAGAAGATTCGTCGAGTAGCACGTAACAGATATTTGCGCGGTACTCGAGCAGCTGGACGATGCAAATTTAACAGTCAGCGGAACAAAGAGCCGATGGGCCGTCTCGACTATTAAGATCTTGGACTTTATCTGTGACTCGAGAGGACGCCGAGCAGATCCGGCGAAGTTAGACAAACTTCTGAATTGACCGTCACCGTTACATAGCCCAACCGAGGTCCGGCAGTTTCTAGGAGTGGTCGATTACTGGCGTATATTCATACGCGGGTATGCGGAGAAGGCTGAGCTGTTGAGGTTACTCCTTCGAAAGACTGAAATATTCTACTGGGATTCTTCTCAGGAACTCACTATGCAAGAACTTAAAAACGAATTTAAGGAGGGAGGACGCGTGTTGGGCGTGCCATTCTTTGACGATGAGACTGAGAGACCCTTCATAGTATCCACGGATGCTGGACCATGTTAAGTAGGTGGTTTGCTGTCTTAGAAGGACGCTGGAGGGAAGGAAAGACCGTTAAGATTTGATAGTAGGACACTTAATACGGCTGAGCGTAACTACAGTCAATTCAAGAAGGAAGTGTTAGCTGTTCTCCGGTGTCTAGACACGTTCAAACACTATATCTATGGACGACGGTTCATCTTGAGAGTAGACTCCACCGCAGTTGCCTCTGTCCTCCAGAAGGACTTTAGTCTGACGGACCCGACCATCGCCCGATGGTTAATACGRATTCGGCTATACGATTACACGGTTGAGAGGATATCTGGCACTAAAAATGCTGTGGCAGATGGACTTTCGTGCATCCCTCTTGAGGCCGAGCGCCCGATAGTAGTTGGGGCCCTGACTATGGTGGAGCCAGGACCCACCGAGCGTTTTCTGGTAAACCTTTACGAGGGCAAATACCGAATGATCGGGCTGCATTTGTCAGGAAAGGAGAGTCAAAAATCAAATATCCGGAGACAAGAGGCCCAGTACTGCCTTAGAGTTGGCCATCTGTTTCGAAGGCCGAGCGGCTCGGGGATGCCCTTACGAGTAGTATATGATCCTGAGGAGAGACAAACAATAGTTGCGGAGCTTCACGACGGGGTAGTCGGAGGACACAGGGGAGTCAAAGGAACCTACGAAAAGGTACGCAGGTTGTACTGGTGGGAAGGACAGTATAAGGACTTCGAGAGGTATTGTAGGACCTGCGAAGAGTGTCAAAAGAGAGATCTTGTGAAATACAAAGAGCCACTTCATCCATCCTATCCAACCCGACCAGGAGAGAAGGTACACATCGATTTAGTGAAAATGCCGAGAGGGGTAGGTAATATGAACTACGACGTGAACATACGAGACGATTTCACTGGGTTCGTGGACGGTAGACCTATCAGGAGTAAGACGGCAAGGGAAGTGAAGAACTTCGTCCTAGAGTACTTATCTAGGTATGGTTGTGTCAGTAAGATAGTGATGGACAGAGGAGCGGAATTCCTGGCTGACGAGGTTCGGAATATGTTCAAGAGAGCTGGGGCGAGAGTTTCGATAGCCACTGCCTACCACCCACAGTCGAACTCCCCTGTAAAGAGAGGGCACCAGACCCTGATAGCGTCGCTATCTGAGTGGTGCAAAGGCAAGGACGGTGATTGGCCACGATATTTTCGATATGCAATTTGGGCAGACAACGTCACGGTCCGGGCTAGCACGGGATACCCTCYATACACCTTGTGGTTTGGGCGGCATTGTCCGCTTCCCATAAAGTTTCACGTCGACCGCTGGACAACCGTCGACTGGGCGGAGGAGATGTCCAGAGAGGAACTCATACCTGCCCGAACAAGACATATAGCCTACGGTTTGGAAGATAACCTTATGACAGCGGCAGATCGTCTGGCAGTGGAAAGAGACAAAGGTAAAGAGAGATGGGATAAAAACGTGAGAATCAGGAAGGAGAGGGTGAGTGTAGGAGATATGGTCCTTCTCTACGATGCAGCGCTGGAAAGAACCTGGACCGGAAAACTCGCCAACAAATGGATGGGACCTTACAGAGTGGTTGAGGCACTTGACTGGGGTGCATATATGATAGCAGAATTAGACGGATCTAAGTGGAAGGACCCTGTGGCAGGTGCTAGGTTAAAGCTGTTTAGGCCCAGGCCCGCGCCCGCCTTATCGCTGACCAGCCCGAAAGGGAAAGGAAAAGCCATAATGGAGGATGGAACCCCCTTGAGGCAATTCAAGGCAGGGGAGAGTTCCAAGAAAAGGAAAAAAATAGAGAAGAGAAAGGTCAAAGGGTTAGCTTTAGGAAGAGAGAAGAGATGGTTATTCGTGCTCAAGCGAGCTAGACGGAGAGTTCGCCTTAGACATACTGGCGGGTCGACACCCTTCTTGGGGCAAAGACAAAAGAAAAAGAGGATCGTGCCGGGACAAAAAACCAGAAGAAACAGGAGAGTCAAGAAGCATCTTCTTAGCCCCAGGACTCATAACAAACTGAAGCATAAGACAATTGAACGCCGACGTGTGCGTCCTTTACGGACCATCACCCTGAAGCTCGTTCGCGTCGTCTTACGTAAGTTGCTAGGGCTCGACGGGGGCGTCGAGAAGTGGTCCGGGCTAACTGTCAGGCGGCCACAAGCAGTGCGCCGCCTGAAATCTACGGTTTTGGAACTTAGGCGCAGAGACGAGTGACGAGTCTGAGTTTTGACGGTACTCTGGTTAGACCAGGCAGCGAAAATTAGGGGAGCTAAGGGCGCCCTTGATTTTGAGCGCGCTGAACCTTACGGGTAACCCTCAAAGATGGCAAGATAGGTGGTCGCACTCGGCACATCCACGGACCGTCATTTCCGGCTGTTCAGAGGGTTAGACCCGGATTGGCCTGCCGCGGGGAGGCATCGCGGGAACTGACCTCGCAGCCACATTTTTTGCGGCATATGCCCGGGGCCGAAATGAGGCTCAAATTTTTGTCTATTTTAGTACCATAATTAAAGATGGGGAAAAGGGATTACGACCAGTAGGGGTAATTTCTTTATTTTTTACGGCATTTAATTCAAGGGGGAATACCCCTTTTATTTTATGTTTCCGGCAATGAAATTAAAAACATAGAAAAATATTATAAATGGTAAAAGAGAAAAGAAACAAAAGGAATT